AAAGCGGGCGATCAAAAGCGAGCTTTGAAAGAATCAAACTGTCCGGCTCCTGTAGACGCTCGATGGGCACTACCCTGGACCACTCGCGTCGCTGACCGGAAAGTTTTTTCGTACCCTCGTCGCGTCTAATTAATGCGGCGGCATTCTCCTCACTCCATGCAGAGGCCACGCTGAGGATTCATTAGCCGCTTCTGAGTGAACCGTGTTCGTTCCCGTGCGCCAGCGGATAAAAAAACATGGAGCTCTGATTGCGTGGCCATTCTGCGTCCGCGACTTCGAAATCGTTTTCGTCGAAGTTTCCACAAACCTTGCTCCGACTTCAGATTCAGCACTATTCTGAGGCTATAACGAGCAAATCCGAACGTCCGACTTTGGTATGTATGCAATCGTGTACGAATAAAACGTAAATGGCTCTACCATTTGCTTTCTGTTCGTGCCCGATCGTGTACATACCACATCGGACGTGGCTTCCCTCTACTTCGCAAAACTGCCGAGTGTAGAGAGAGAAAGGGGGAGGGGGCAGCGAGGGGTTGAGGCGTGCGTATGACGCACACCTTCGCAGCCCATCTATCCAGCGAATATTAAACACTACAAACACTGTGCCCTTATCAGACTGAGACAACGACTTTTTCAAAGTAATTGACAAATTGTTATGCTCAAATACCATTTAACGCAAAAGAAACGTTCGAAACTGCTTGAAACACTTCTTGGGAGTGCCTCGCATCCATCGCCTGTACAGCTGCTTCCACTTTATTAATGCCCACGAAATGGCGTCCTTGGAAAGCTTTCTTCGTGCCCCACCCCTCACATGATAACCAACCAAACGTCCGACTGTTCGTACTGTTCGTGCCAAAAACATGGCTAAACAAGATCAGACACCGGCAATCAGGGCCTCGCCTGAATGCGCACGACGCAGTGATTGAGCGGCGAGAGGTTTGGTTGGTTTTCTGATATGTCGTAGGACAATTCGGACGTTTGTTCGTGCATGGGTATGGCCTGACGGGGCCACCAGTGGTCACCATTTGTTGGTTGGCATGAACGCATGGAGGTAGGGAGCTTCTGGAGGCGAGATGACGTCACCACAGGTAAAGCCGTGAAAGGGTTTTGGTTCGGAAAGACACGCCGCCAACGATGAACCAAAGCAAACAAAACCAAGCGACACTATTGGAGGGCAAGGAGAGCTGATTTGGCGCCAACATCTTTTTTGGGCAACCTTGGGTGACCTCGACTTCTTGTTCCGGCTTCTCTTACGATTTGCTTTTTTGGCCGGCTTGAGCCGGCATGTCTCCCCCTCTGCTTCCTCTCTCCATGCATGAACAAAACCCCTGCGGGGACGGAATTTCCCGGTCATTGATAAGATGGAAACAGCTGTTCAGGTGTGGCTGAGGCATCGCTAAAAAGTGGACCTAGCAGGTCATCGAGAGGCTGCCACACGGCTGGTGCATGGGCATTGGCATATGGCTCCTTCTGGAGTCTGTCGAGAATATCGAGATATGTGCAAAACTCTACGCGACAGGTATCGGCAGCAAAAAAATTATTAAAAAGTAATTGTAAATCAATATGGTACGCCCCGTGCATTCGGTAAAAGGCACAATATCGCACACACGGAACAATCGCCGCCGGGAAGACATTTTCATAGCGCGGCAGTGAGTTGAATGATCTAGTCGTTTGGAGGGGGCAGAGACCAACAGAAACAGAAGGCAAACGTCTTTCCTCTTTGATACCGAACTCCACGAGTCAGATTAAGTAGCAAGTATCCGGATGTAGAGTCAGAAAAGAGATCGTTGGGAAAAGGCAACGCGTAATCGATTTTCGCTTTCCAACTCGTCAATATTGACTGTCAGAGCGACACGAGAGCTGCTTCTTATCTCGACTCAAGCCTACGAGAGCGAAGCGAAAACATAACGTAGAAACAAGTTTATTTGACATCTTCCTGGAGGAGTAAGCTACATTACCAGGACCCCCTTCTCCCGGTACGAAGTCGTCATCGTGTACCGGCTCGTTTTCTGAAAAACAATTTAGGAATAAAAAAAATTTAAAAAAAACTGGTCGACGCACCAGCTTGACGAGGCCTCCGATATTGTGCGTGCTAAAAAAATTGTTTTTCTTTATTTGGCGTTTTCTTTTTCTCCGTAGTTTTATTTCGGCTGAAGGCTAGCTTTAATTTCTACACCATATTTTTCTTTTTCAACAAATTGTGCTATAACCTAATTCTAACTTAAGACAACAAGGTAATCGGGATTCAAAATACTCTCTGGGATATCTGAAAACGTACAGTTATTACGCATTAGTTCGTGCCACGGGCAAGCAATATTCTTAAGTAGATCGGTTTCCCTCAGGCAAACAAAAAGTTCTCAAAACCCCATCAAGCAACATTGACGGCCGCGAGGGGTCGTAGTGGCGCAAGCTACCGCCCGTTGCAAAGGGTATAGCCATTAACATTTATCCATCCATCCATTCAGCATGAAGCGTGTGATTGACTCCGAGTCCTCACCGCACGCTGACGCAGCACTACCTCGCTCTCAATACGAGCTGAGCCCAGTTCATACCGAACGCTGTCGCCGCATTCGTGGCCAATACCCGCTCAGATTACGTGCCCAAACAGTGGCCGACTCGGATGATTGACGCAGCAGCTACTAGATGGCGCCCACTCTTGAAAGGGCCCTATGACAGTCCAAGGAAAGAGGGTTATACGATGAAGCCTTTTCTCTTAGCCGATGGGCAAGGTGATAGCGACCAATGTTCATAGTATCAACTGAAATCTGAACCGGCCTGCATAAGACTATCAATCGGGAAAGCGTAAGAAACCAGGGCACCCTATGTTGTTTCCTTTTCGCAAATATTTGCGCTATATCATTACGCATGTGATAAATGGATGTGATTGTTTCAACTGGAAGGAGATCGTCGCTCTGTCCCTCTTCACACATGAGTGACGCTTTTCCCTCGCCGATATTGGAGATTTTGGGCGTCTGCAGGGCGCACGCTCACCGTGGCGCCATCTATTTTTGGAACAGTCAACCCTAACCCTGGTGCTGATGGACGTTCTGATATCGTCTTTTCGTCCGCTGGCGAGATTGTTTGTGGTTGTTTTTATCTAAAAGCCAGTTTGGTAAATGTTGCGAAACTAATGTCGCAAATATTAGGACCGCACATCAACTTATTCGAAGTGTGCTGTAAAGTCTCTTAAGTTAGTCTACCTTAAAAGTCATAAAAAAATAATAACTCAATTATTTTCGAGCCTAAGCTCTGTTATCGCATGCCCTTGCGAACCCGAAGCACGGACCAAAGCTGCGTATGGGTGCTTATTAGCACCACTAAATTACCACAAAAAAAAAAAAGCATCCAAGTAGTACTTGTAACAGTCTCCATGCTCAATAGCTACGAAAACGTTATTGAATATAAGTGCTCATGAGTTGAAATAAATAAAACAAGGCGCCTAATGCCTGTGATAACGCTGATGTGCACTAAATAGGGAGGGGGGATAATGTTTAATGTTTGTTGCGCACGTTTCTATTCCTTCTTTCTTATCAAGCTTCTATACAAGTTCAGTAGGCGCTCTCGGTGTCTGAATTCAACGAGGAACTTAAAACTTTTCCGAAAAAATCCGCTTTACAGTTTAGTTTTTGAGTCAATCAATCAATCAATTTTCAATTGCTTTTTAAAATACAATTCAAATGTAAATCTAACATAAGCCAACACTGGCTTGTTCGTGGGATGTGACAGATGTCACTGCATTTTTATTAGAAAATTATTAAACTTGCGTCAGAGCGCGCCATTTCTAAATAAATGGATTTTTTATTTCGAGTAAACAAAAAAACTAGCTACCGTCGATTACACTAACTCCTTGAACAGCAGTATTGTTTAAGACATGTTGGATTTTGGCAGTACTTACATAACGTCTTTAGGTACAACTATATCGACACAAACCGATTTTCTTAGCTTCTTTTCTTCTTTCTCTTTTTCTTTTTTTTTACTCTCTTCAATTACCCACGTTTTGACAGCTTATTTTTATAGAATCCCAGAACGAACATATTATGTGTGAAAAAAAAATTCTGACGTTCATAATGCTTTCTTTCGAAAATTTAATTCTCCCTAAAACAGACGGTCGCATTTATGCGATATATCGTATGCCGTTTACTACCAGGCGTTTTAAAAGTGACAAGAAGCTCGCCAGCGCAACTTGAGGAAGGGTAGAGAGAATATGCTACAGTGAAGCGCGTTAAGGCGCCGCGAAGAAACGTATACCAGGTACAGTGAAAGCTCGTGCTGCAAAACCTAGTGACTCTGGGTTCAAGCTCCAGCCCTGCCCGTTTCGATTTGACTGAACATCAAACAGATGTGCGGTCATGTATCATTACTGCGTGATGTGCGTCAAAGAGTCTAGGCTAGAACTCGTACTGTATTAGTAATAGTTTTTATATACAGCGTGAACCTGCATCCCGATACTATGGCAGTCCGACCTCTCGCCATCTAAGAATCTGATGTTTGATTTGCATTTGTCGCAGTATACCAGACGTTTCACAAATATAAATGTAAGAATTATCTTCACCAAAGTGCGCTGTAATTAACCAGCTAATATGATTCTTTCCGCATTATTTTGGGTTAAACCAGAAAGTAATTTGGTGTAGATATAAACCTGAGTTCCTTACTTCCCGAACCGCATTTGCAGTGAAAGTATCTACTAAAGCAAATTTCTCGCGCCTGTATTTGTTGTTGAGATCAAACAAGGTGTAGCAAAGCCATTCGACTGAATAAAGATATAAAATGACGAGCAATGATAGTGACTTTATTAAAAACCGCAAATATAGCGAAATCTAGGATTTCTCAAACATAGCGACTAAATCTGAAATCTTCACTATGCGAGAGGAAAAATCCTTATTATTTACAAGCATTTTTTTTGTACAATACCGCTGCAGTCGATCAAACATTAAAATTGCTTATACTTCCCACATACGCAAAAGTGAACTGAAAGACTCTAACCCAATCAATGTTTTATCCAGTTCCTCCTAGATGGCGGCAGGAGCCGAGGGACAGGGCGGCAATCATGGGTCAGGCAGTGGTGTTCGACTGCCAGGCAGAAGGCTTTCCGGTGCCGGTCATTCGTTGGAAAAAGGCTCATGGTCAGTTGTTGCTCACAGCTCATCACCTAGTCAGGCTATCCGGACAAACACCGAGTTATGTTGGTTAACGTAACAAGACGTAGACACTTCAGCAATTGGGCCAGGCTTCTGCGATTTTTTTTTCCGAAATCTGTTGTTGTTTTTGTTTCTGGTAATTTGGGGACTTTTCAGCTTTAGAAAACGAAAATATTTATTTAATGGGTCTGCAAGAAATGTCTTACTGATTCCATCTTGAGGAAGTGGCTCTCGCCAATCACCTCTCCGGTGTTCGTTTGGTCGTCCTTTCTCTCATTCTATTTCATTTTTTTCTCTTTTTTTTCTCTTTCGTTTGCTCTCACCCAGTCACTCTATCGGTTTTTATGACTCACTATTTCCGTCATTCACTGATTATTTGATATGTTTATAATTGTCAGACTAGGTGTAATGACCGTACGCCAAACATGTCAAAACCAAGCCCCTGAAAAAAAAATTGCATTCATGACTGTTTTGCCGGAACGATTATAAAGACCAGTGCAAGGTCCGAACAATAAATACGTAGAATTTATTATCCTACTTATTCCCGTGCATGAACTCCGTCAATGCTAATGTTGACACCATCTGAGGTGGTATTTTACTGTTTCCATATTAACCAAGCTAGGCCATGACGTATATTTATATGTAGACGCATGCTTTAAAAGAAAGAAAGATGGGACTCTAGATACATGGGTCCCTAGGTAGATGTTCTTAACGTGCACTTGACAATTTATTTTCTGTTCCCATCGTAGCTCGTGCATCAATGTCATACTTTTGATTCCGGTTTACAAGCAGGTGGAACGACTCGTAGACTTTTTTTCGGCGCTGCTCACAGCCAGACCGGCTCTACCGCGTCTCACACTCAGGAGGTGACAGTGGCGGCCGCGACTTCAGCGTGATCATCAGCAATGCCAACGTCCAGATCCTCGAGAACGGCTCGCTCAGCATTCGCGAGGCTGACCGCAAAGATGGCGGGCAGTACATGTGCCAAGCCATCAACGGCGTAGGACCCGGAATATCCACGGTCGTCCGACTCGACGTTCACGGTACGAACCCCGTAGGCATGACACTCGCTTTTATGTGATAAATTTTGGGATATACTATTCTGTTAGTTTCATTGTTAAGACGGCGAGGACCTTAAATTTCACCTAACGACTCTTCAATCACTCTCAAATACAGTTCGTTTAGACGCATTTCTCACTACCAAGACAGGCTCCGACCAAACGTGCATTACTCAAGTTATATTTATATAACAAATACTGGTAGCTTTTGTGGCGAATTATGTATGGCTTTGTTTAATACAGGCGTAATTTGTTTCAATAAACTTTTTCGCAAAAACCACCGAACGCCGAGCGCAAATTCTTGTAGGCTCCTCCTTCCCACCACAGCATTTACCACGCGATACTAAGGAAAGCGAGAGAGAACCATAGTTGCTCGGCTGGTCTGGCCCGCTCGAAGTAGCCTCCAAGATCGCCTCTGTCGCTCGCTATGAGTGATGTACCTAACATTCCCGGCATTTCTTGTGGCGCGTGGACGATGCTGCCCGCTTTGCAGAAGTTCTGTTTGGCAGTGTTGAGTCGATACATTTTTTATTACAGACTTTTTTAGTTCGTCTACTTTTCGCGGACGAAGCACTTATTGACAGACTCGGGATTGTTATGGTAGCTTATGCACTGTACAAAGTTACAAGGCGGTCTAAAAATAAAAGTCGGGGACCTTACGCACATTTATATGGTGTAGACTTCGCCGCGTCATTTGGCATTAACTGTAGTCGCTACCAGCCTAAAGAACGTAGGCATGGCTAGTAGCAGTAATGTTCTTGATCGCTCCGGAACCAATAGCGTTGCGGCATCAGCTATTCATAAACGCATTTCATAAACTGTCCTCAGCTATAGGCAAGCACGCTTTCGGAAGCTTTAGCACGTGTACTCCCAGTCAGTTCACTCTGAAAATCAACCTCTGGCTTTCCTTCAACTACTTAGTCCAATGAAAAGGGAGATCGGCGTGGCACCTGAACTCGTGTGGCACAGAAGTAAAGAAAGGCCAAATATCATTATACATTACTGCCACCAGTGAATTGATTCAATCTTATTCTACTGCCCAACACACCGAAATGCGTTCATGATGGTTTTCCTTCTGGAGCCTCGTCCAACACTCGCTGTGTGGCCCTCTCCCCGCAGTGGCGGCGCACTTCGAGCGCAAGTTCCAGGCACTCACTGTGCGTCGGGGCGAAAGCATCGCCCTCACGTGCAGGGCCGTTGGAGAGCCCCCCATCACCGTCACGTGGACCAGGGACAGGCACGGGTTCAACCCCACGCTCGAACCAAGGTGGGGACAGCCAATACCGCCAAAACGGTTGATGAACACTGCCAAACACAGCGCGAACACGACATCAGCCTTTTTTGGAGTGTTTCTCATACATTGTAATGAAAGAAAAAACTTTCATTTTTTTATGTTAGTATGCACAGTGCGTACATACGAATTGGAGAGAACAGCGCAAAAAAGGACGTAGGACGAGGTCGAAGAAACGCACAGACAGGGCGCTGACTTACAACTGAAAGTTTATTGCTCCGAAGAAAGAGAAATAAACACAGAAAAGAGGAAGAGGAGAGAACAAACAAATCAAACCGATAACATGCGGCATCACCCACGCCCACGCTCCGTCCACGAACCTGCCACACTTTCTTACAAAATCCGCCTCGTCATTTGCAAGGGCAACCGAAGGAGCGCTCACACACGTGTCAGCTCCGATAGACGCGGTAAATTAGGAACGCTTCGTCTATCTCCCTCGCAGTTTTGTTTTTGTGACGAGACAAAATCTTTATGTCGCGAAATGACGGCGTGCAGCCACACCTGTCACAATGAACCGCGAGGTTTCCTGAGGGCGAGGAACGCAGAGAAAGGGAATGTCCCCTTGCCCTTACGTTTACACAACGCCCGGTTTGACCAATATACATTGGTACAAAGGGAGCGTTCCTCGCCCTCAGGAAACCTAGCGGTTCATTGTGACAGGTGTGGCTGTACGCCGTCATTTCGTGACATAAAGATTTTGTCTCGTCACAAAAACAAAACTGCGAGGGAGATAGACGAAGCGTTTTTTACCGCGTCTATCGGAGCTGACACGTGTGTGAGTGCTCCTTCGGTTGCCCTTGCAAATGACGAGGCGGATTTTGTAAGAAAGTGTGGCAGGTTCGTGGACGGAGCGTGGGCGTGGGTGATGCCGCATGTTATTGGTTTGATTTGTTTGTTCTCTACCCTTCCTCCTTTTTGTGTTTATTTCTCTTTCTTCGGAGCAATAAACTTTCAGTTGTGAGTTAGCGGCCCTGTCTGTGCGTTTCTTCGACCTTGTCCTACGTCCTTTTTTGCGCTCTTCCCTCCAGTCAGTATGTACCCCCAACTAGCCCAACTACATGCCTTGCTGCGTACATACGGGCACACTATTAGTATTGACGACATATTTTATACCCTAGAAAAAAACGCCGATGGTCTGTTCGTGCCAGCAGTTTCCCACTCTGTAAATAGTCGAGTTATGCGGGAAAAAAACAATAAAAAAGTTGGGTTTTAGCAAGCTTATGTACCCATTTTTTTACTCCAATACTCCGACTGAATCACTTGGGTTCTATGTCTGACTCCAGTTTTGTCGTGTTTCTCACGTGACTCTCCACGTGACGGTAGTACAGTGGCCTAGAGAGTTGTAGTGGGCTCACGGGACGGCTCGGCCTGATCCGTTTGATGTCGACGCGGCGGTGGCGCTGTAAGCGTTTCCTCCTGAAACTTTTTAGTGCTTGGCCGGAGCAGGTAGGTTAGACGGCTCTTAACAACCGCGGGCAGCGGGCGGGAGAAGTTTGGGGAGGAATCTACTCCTGCGCCTCCGTTGTTTTCGACATCGGCCGCGGCAGCGCGATACACGGGGGAGATAGGGCGGTGACCCAACTACCCAACTTCTAGGGGCACTGTAACGATAGATTCCTTTCGGCGCAGGTACGTGGTCGAAGAGAAGCCCGGCGCTGAGGGGCTCGAGTACTCGGTGCACATCCCGACCGCCGACCGCAGGGACTCGTCGCTGTTCAGCTGCTACGCCGAGAACGCCTACGGCAGGGACGATACGAACTTCCAGGTCGTCGTGCAAGGTCCAACCAACACATTCACTATTCAACCCATTACGATGATTATGTCGGTTTTCTAAATAAACTGGACAAAGCAGGACAGAAGCAAAAAATGGAGACGGAACAGATATCCTGCTCAAGCCATTCGCTATACTGCATATTCTAGACCGCCCAATCGTAATTCATTACACATAAAGTAAATACATGAAATATACGTTACAAGAAAATTTTGTGCGTAAAAAAACAGTAAACTAATCTAATTTATTTCGCATTACGTTCGTTTTCCATAAAGAAAAAGGCAATCGAGCTATGGTTTAAGTCTTTTTTTATTTTTGATTTTTTGACTTGACAACCTAGAGCGTGCTGGTAAAGTTACGGGTATAAAGGAAAGCACCATGAACGGCAAAACGGACGAAGACACGACTAAAGATATTCCCATTTATATTTCCTGCTGAAGCTGCCAAGAAACAAAACGAGGCCCTCCCATTCTGAATTGGATGCAGATTTTGGGGAATTTAGGTGAAACGGTAAATTTTACTAGGCGGTCTAAGTTAGTCTTCTTCATATACGTATGGAAATATATGATAAGAGCCTTAAACCACTTCGAGGCGCATTAACCGAGATAATAATGGCTCTTTTTTTTGTACAAACAGAGCCTCCTGACAAGCCCCGAAGCCTAGAAACGACATCAACAACGAGCCGTGCAGCCACGCTGGTCTGGGCACCGCCATACTCTGGCAACAGCCCCGTGCTCAAATATCTCCTCGAATACAAGACGGAGTCCGGTAATCAAGGCCCAAGATTTTTTTTTTTTTCTCTTTCCACCCTGTTGATTTCGGACAAACATTTTTCACGCATCTCCCGAGGCGCGTCAAGACAAACGAACGCAGTTTATTTTTTTATATTGAGACCGGTAGTTCGATAATGACAGTTCATTGTTGGTGTCCAAGTTATGGACAAATTGTCTTATGAATGAGGTAGTAAATTAATATATATTTCCTTAATTAAATATTCATTTCGTTCGATGTGCGTTAGACCCCTCAAGACTTTCTCATGAACATGTAAATTAAAGCAAAAATAATCTATTTGATTGTGTCTTTATTTTTTTATCATTCATTAAATCTTTGCCCCGTAGGGTTCCGTACCTTTGAAAGGAACTGCGGTTTTTCTACAATATGAATAGACAATGCATTGCACAGGATTAGCATTGCGTGTTACATGAAATGCCAAAAAAAAAAGAATAAACAACCGACTTTCACGTTATAAAATTGAAAATTTCAAATCGAGTTTCGTAAAACTTTAGTGACAAAACAATGAGCAGCAAGGCGCCGATACCCACCACCACGCCGAAATGAACCTCGCATCGTCCTCCACATACTTCCGCCTTCTTGTTGAAAAGGTTTTGAGAATTGCGTCTACCTTTTTAATAGGATACCGTTACGTTCCAAACTTTTGATACCCTGTACTAAACCGCTATGAATGCGCCAAGAAACTGAGAGGGAGGAGGAGAAGAAAGCGCGCAAGGAGCGTAAGAACGCCGACCTCTGATTGGAAGAATTAGTGGGTAGAACTAAAGCTAGCTGCCGTTCTGTCAACGTGACTCGTTGAACGCGTTAGGACGCGGAACGCCTGCGTCGTGCGTTTGGCTCTCGCATTCGAATGGGTTTGATGAGTGCAGTAGAGGCTACCCGCCGGGTCTTTGGTCTTTGACCTCTGAAGCTACCAGCCGACCTTTGAAATAGAGCTCGGCGTTCACGTCCCTGCACGCTCCGTCTCCTCCTCTTCCTTAGTTAGGTAAACAAATAAACTGCGCAAAGGACGAGGCCAGAGGCAGAAACAAGTACGACACACGGAGCCTTTCTTGTCGCATAGATTTCGTGTAGCGTTAGAATTTTCCCTGGCGCGTAATGGGGTACAAACGTACAGGTTTCTTTATGCATTGGAATCGGCCCTTATGTTTTGTGGCACTCGCAAGGCTATCCGTTCTGCAAAACCCTTCCCGCAAAAAACTCTTCATACTTTAAATCGGACAGCAGCTGAATATCCGATCCGATTGCGCCAATCACGGAGTGCCAAGGGAGCATCTCCACGGCGCTCGTTGTCTTTCTATCATCTTTTAAACCAATTACGCACAAAAAAGCCGCAGGATTGCAGCGCATTCACTGTTCGTAATTGGTTTGGTCGGTAATACCAAGCGCATGAAGGAGATGAGCGTCGTGACAGTGCACATTTGGTGCTGCTTGATTGAATATATCAGATGGAAAGCGTTGGTCACAGTCGGACTTGAGGCTGGTTCACACACTCCCGACTACTTACGACCGAAAAGGCTTAAGAACAATTTTTAAATCTCTTATGACTGCTTAGGATTCGCTACATGGCTCTCCAGCCGGTCGTGAGCAGTTGAGGCTCGTTCACACACTTGCAACCGAGTACGACCAAGAGAGACAAGACCGGTTTTTTAAGCCACTTACGACGCCTTAGGACCAGCTCCTCAACATCGCATCCGGTCCTAAGATGTCGCAAAAGGTTTAAAAACCGGTCTTGTGTCTCTCAGTCGCACTCGGTTACAAGTGTGTGGGCGAGCCTTTACAAGGTGCTTAAAACCGGTTTTAAGACTTTGCGGTTGCAAGCGGTCGCAAATGTGTGAAGCAGCCTTTAGAGTGAAACAGAGTATAGTGATCCTCGAAAACGCCGACGTTCGTGCAACTTCTGGACAGGCTCGTGGGGCAACGATGGACACCTTGTGGCCGTCGAGTCGACGGAGCTGTCCCACCTGGTCAACACCCTCAAGCCCAAGACGACCTACGAGTTCCGTCTCCGGGCGGAGAACGTCCTCGGACTCAGTGACTATAGCGACTCGCTCGTCCTCACCACGGACGAGGAAGGTAGAAGATTGTATTTCACCCTCTAAAACAATTTTGAAAATGTACACTTCTACAGAACAGGGGGGCACCCAAACATGAGAAACGACAGAAGGGTCCCAGCGAATGACGACGTTCATGATAAGGTTAGATTTAAAAACGGAGACATGAGCAAGGGCAATGAGAAAGTGAAACGTTGTCCCTACGCATGTTTCACAATGTTGGTTACACTTGCGATTAGAGCATCGCCATTCGCTGGAATCGTTTGGTTGTGCGGAGTAACTGGATACCTCTGTGTATTTAAAAAGATCGAACTAGCAAATGTATTGCAAATTGCAGTTTTTGCAGGGGCGAATCGGTAACCTCAATGTAAAAGTCCTTCTTTCGAATTAACATCGCGCAAACAATTATCGTTTATTTAACATATGTCAGAAGGGACCTTCAGCAAAGTAGTACCTCCGTTCCGTACTCTTCAGGTGGTTTGTTTCAAACCATTGCCTTGAATGGCGTTCCAAAAATTCAGCTGCCTTATCAAAGCGGGCGACAAGCTTGTTTTGCACTGTCAGATATGTCTACATTAAATCCCAATACCGATTTTATTGACCTCAAATTCTCTACTTGCATGTGTTCGTGCAATTGCTACTGCATGAAAAACGCTGATTACAAAATTATTGAACCCGTGAATGGCTGTACGCGCGTCCTGTATTTCATTGTTCGAACTTCAGATGCGAACTTAAATTTGCTCGCGTTCCTTTTAAAGCACATACCGACCTTCCATGACATCTGAGTATCAAGCCGCGGATGAGCGATTTTGTTCAGCAAAAACAATGACTGTCTCGTTAACTAAACGCGTTACCACCAAGCATGGTGTGATTATGAGGAGTAGATAGATACAAAATCGACACAGATAAGACGAGCGTAACATCAGAAAAACCTTAGTTTTCCTAGGATGATGTATTTTTTTGGCAGAAAACCTACATATAAACAACTTTTTAATCAGTCACTTCCAGGCGCGCTTTACGTGTTAAGATTATATGGCATTTCTGCACCAATTAATCGAACGTGTGACTTGTAGCAGAATGCTCCGATCCAAGCCAGATTGACTGGCACCGTGCCCTCCCCTTCCTTTCGCAGCACCTGGCGGCGCACCGCGAGATATCAAAGTGACACCGACTGGTTCCCGCAGTCTCCGCGTTGCTTGGATGGTAAGGCCGCATCGTGTGTATATTCTTCTCAAGTTTCAAGACCGGATAGAGCTCGTCGTTCTCTATCAGAATCCAGACTTTTCCTTATAACGGGTGTTCGGGAATAGACACTTAGAGTGTTGTTTTTTCTACGCAAAAACGAACTACGCGTGAGCAGACGCTCAGTCTCGAACCTAATGCAGCGCTAGCAGTCCGGACATGGTGTCCAAACTTTAGAGCTTACCGTTATTTTCTTCGAGAGGTGCAAGCGACCCCAGAAATGTTTATTATGAAAATCAGCGCCGCCCCCGGTTCCTGACGCCATTCACCTTCATGGATTCGTGGGTTCTGTCGGCCGTTGTTTTATCATTGAGAACATCCAGAAATCTCTTACAGCTTCTGAAGCAGATAATAGCAAGCTTTGATTCGGAACGTTAAAGGTGTATTCACCCTGAAGAAAAACCCCTTCCCTTGCTCCCCGAGAAGCGCATCACGTGGTTTTAATGTCTCGCATGTTCCGCGATGCCGCTCTTGACATCCCAGGGCAGGGGGAGGGCGGAGCTTTTGCTGGGACTGCAGAAACAGTCCTCGCCTTGGCGTGGGATCTCTTCGCAATCGGTGGTCTTTTTCTTCGCGTGTCTGGCAACTTTATAGAAGTTGCTCAGCGGGATACCGGCAGTGGCATCGGGATCGCCTAACTTGTTGCGGCTTACGCGGTTCCGCGTGTCGTTCAAAGCACCCGAAGGAGCCTTCGATATTTATCAATGCCGTTCTCAGGCCACTCCAACAACCTGTTTTGAATTCCACGTTCTTTGTGTTGCATCCACCTATCCAATAAGCATCCTTTATTGCTTTAGCAGAAAGCAGTTTGTCGTGTTCGGCATCTAACAGCGCTTTTGCCATAATCGCGTCTAGCTGTTTCATGTACGCCTTCGTTTCCCTACTTACGTCAGCGTGCACCGAGCCTGTGTTGTCGACAGTGCGACCGCTAAATGCGTCTGATAACACTGAAATCCCTTTCGACTCTCCGCCGTTCGTGTGAATAGTGCAGTCGGGAAAGGCGTCCGTCCCGCTGGTTTCGCCAACCTCTGACATCACGCACGTTCCTCCCCGAAGAGCACCCCTCTTTGTGAAAACCTCTCTTAATGGTTTATGTTCGGGAGGAAAGTAATCCTTTGGCCATGCGTCATTTACTTTTGTGGTTAAAAAAATACATTATTTCCTCAAGCACTTGCTAAACCAAAATATATATATATTTATTTTTCTGTTTGTGAAACATAAAAGGGCGCCACTGGAAAAGCGCCCGCATAATAGCCAAAGTTTTATTGAAAAGAGTTTACTTTTGTCGGGAACACGGCGAAGCTAAGCATTTGAAAGAAACGCAAGCGGTTATCTTGACGCCCTACTTCTGAGGTCGCTCAGCCATCTTTTGATACTTTCTTGCTTTCGTGGGACAAGAGAAACGTTCAGTAGACAGAGTGAATCTCAGAAAGGAAATACCTTGCATCTATGTTCACTATTCGGGACAGACTCAAATTTGAGTCTGCCCCGATAGAATATATGATCATGCTATAGCAGTTTACTATTGTTCTCTTATATACCAAGACCTGCCGTATACGAGCTTTTCGCGTTGGCTCAACATAACCGTCTTACCTATAATTTTCATAAATCAAAAATCGAAGTTTTGCTCATCAACCTTCGAGTTCAACAGGTAGTTCTCATGCAAAACCACGTCGAGCAGCCAGTATCATAGAGCTACGAGGTCGTAATTAATTAGAGTGTAACTAGGCGAACAATGCATTATTTGATAAACCTTAGATTCATTCAATAAGACGTCCAACCATTCAATCCATTCATATATCGATTGATGAGTCAAACGATCATCGAAGTAACAAACAGTTAGATACTCAGTTACACGCTTAAATATGTACCAGTCTTGCACTGATGTCACATGAGCGTCTGCTGCGGTGTCCTTGTTGCAGAGAGCGTACCTTCTTCAGCAAATATTTATCGAATTTTCTCAGCAAGAACAAATAGGAATGACCACCGGCACGGTGAGATGACATTACATGTAGGCTAACAAAGAGTCCTTCAATATTAAAAGCCTTTTCAAAAGTGCACTATCTATCTAGTAGCTGCTGTGCCAATCATCCTAGTCCACCATTTTTTTCGGCACGTACTCCGAGCGCGTATTGGGGAGGAGCCTGAGCGTTCGGCGAAGACACGGAATCCATCACAAGTTTCGTGCCCTAAAACTTGCGACCACCAAACTTGCTTGATAAGGTTTGGAAAATGATCTATTATGTGTTCAGTCATAGCCTCCTATATACTGACAAAGCCTGGCAGATCGCCATGAGAAGCGGCCTTCGAAATGGAAAAGGTGGGGTGGCAGACAATGGATGATAGAAAAACCACGTGACTGGCGCCCCGTTGCGGCGAGACGCCGAAACAGACTCCCGAGCGAACAAGCGTGTTTCGGGTACTCATCGCTGCAAAAGCAGTGCGCTGACGTTCAGGTTCCCCGAGAAATGTCTCGATGATGCTCTGTGCTACCAGACCCTTGCGCTCTTAGTCTGCGACCGAGCACTCTATGGCTCCGTCGTCGAACTGCCAGGCTCTGTGAGTATAGAGGAGGCTATGGTCCAGTAAACCAACCGGTCACTCAATGAGTGGAATTGGTCAATCAACCAGCGACTGCTAATCGAATGGGTGTGCCTCTCCCAGCCTCCGTCCGAATCGGAGTCCCAGGGGACGGTGCAGGGCTACTACGTGGGCTACCGAGTCCGCGACTCCAAGGAGTCGTACGCCTACAAGACCCTAGAGGCCGCGTCGACCTCTCTGGGCTCGTCTTCGTCGGGCCTCCAGGAGTGCGACCTCAACGACCTCCGCAAAAACACTCGCTACAGCGTGGTCGTCCAGGCCTTCAACGGCAAGGGCGCCGGTCCTTCGTCGGAGGAGGTCTTCTCTCAGACGCTCGAAATAGGCAAGCCACGTCTAGCCTGTAATGCGATGCCTGTGGGTCCGAGCAGTCCCACCTAGAAGGCAAGGCCTGCGCGTGACGTCATCATTAGAGGATCCTGCCCCAAGCGGCAAACACGCTGAAGCTTGACGAGAGACGTCGCAAAGCCGCAGACGCGTGTGTCCTTGAGCCGCCCTGTGCTAGCGTCGTGCTCGTTGTGAGACGCTGCACGACGCGCTAGCAGCGACGCTGACGCAGGCCAGGCGGCGCTGCACGGATCCACTAGTGATGACGTAAGGGGTGCAACGGTCCAGGCCTTGTCTTCTAGGTGGTATTAGCCTAAGCAGGCGTTCACTGGCTCTTGTGGGGCCTCGACGCAGAACCCGCGCAGAACCCAACAGAAGGAAGTGTGTTCGCGTTGTCGCATGACAATCGAAAGCACCTCGCTTTCATTTTACCGAGCATCGATTCACACTGTTCTTCTGTGCGCCGACTTATTACTTTCTGTGATCGAGGAGTTTGATTGTGCGATCGAAACGCTGATGACGCTCACTCTTCGTACCTGTGCAGCAGCGCCTAAAAGCAAAACGGCACATAGTATTTCGTGGGTGAGAACGCTTTTCCAGGAAGAGTCAGTTGAGCGGTATAATATTTGTGCGGGTGTCGCCTCGCTAGCTCGTTTGCCAAAGTGTCAAGCTCTCGTCCGGTGGACTAGCATTCTGGCCGGCTCTCCTGTTTTCAGTCATGGACATTCGTTGTGCACCATACTTAGCGCGGAGCCGCGACTGGCTCGTTTTTAAATATCTTAAAACTTTAAAGCAAAAAGGTTAACACAAATACCCAAAGATATAGTACCACCCAACTTTGTTTAATGAAATCGTGTCCTTGTGCTTTTAGTTGTCCACTCTGCTTTAAATAACATCTTGTTATTATTTCAGACCGAACTTTTTGTTGGACTTTTTTGCAGATCCGCCGACTGCGCCATCTCTGAAGCTCGTGTCGTCGACGTCGTCTTCAGTGCACCTCAGTTGGGAAGTGGCGAAGGAGCAGCCAATAAGCGGTACGATGAACCAAAGCCACCTCTGGCTTTAGCGAGACTACAAGAATATCGGAAATGGGGTTGACGGAAATTAGTATTTTTTTAGGCTTTTATAACTTCTATTCGATACACATTATTGATATAAATTTCGGCCATTCAAATCTTGTGCCAGGATTATAAATATCTTTTGATGTGCGGGTCCGCAGCTCAGTAGAGTGTGGCAAAACCATGTAATACTTAATATTTTTTCGCTCTCTCTGACTATTATTTGTTCGGTGAAACGAAACTATTGTAATGGGAGGACGATTTTGATGAGAATAACCTCCGTACGCATAACGCAAAAAAAAAAAATTAGTTTTTTTTTTTTTGCGATTAATTATGGTAGGGATTCGGCTTCTTCGGCGTCTAATTCACTCGGTGAACGCCAACAGTGGTACTCCAAAGTCCCAAAGAAGCAGAATGTTTTGACGAAACACTCCATAGAGAATGTAAACGTTTTATTAAAAATATGTCCGATAAAGTCACCGGGACCTATACAGATATTTTTGTAAGTCGTATATAAAGTCTTGTACCATCTTATATACTTGCGAATGTTTATTGGACACTTTCGTACAATGTATTTCGCGAAATGCGCGCCACTCCTCCCAGTTCCTAGCAGCTCTGACTGCTCTCGTGTTGTGTTAAGCCAAAGTCACACTGTTTATAAGTCACACAAGAGACACGACGTTCCTTACAGTTATGATGGCAAACGTGTTTGCGGACATGCCTCGGGTATGTTCGGAGCGTGTTTGCTTCATCCATATGTCATACAGGGAAGGAATAGCCTCTGGTAGTGTCTGCAAACTGTACTTACGCACGATTTCTTATCAGTGTGACCGTACATTTAAGATTGCAGAAAGTGATGCCAAGCTAGGAGGTGACTAAAGTAGCGACGCGAGAAAAAAAAAAAAAAGAAGAAAACGACAGTGTGCATGTGACGTCTCAGGGTTCGTGCTCTTCCAACGCACCGAGGCGAGTCCGAACCCGAGTGCGCTGACCTCGGAGTCGTCGGGCGAGTGGTCCGAGGTGCAGATGGGCGCCGACCGGTCCGCCTACGCCTTCCGGAGCCTGGGCTGTGGCAGGCGCTACGCCTTCTACGCCGTGGCCTTCAACGCGGCCGGCAGGGGGCCCCGCAGCAACACCGTGCACGCCAAGACGGACGGATCCAGTGAGTCAGCATTTCATCGTGCGCATCTTCGGCCGCCCCCGTGTGCCCAGCTATTACTTGTTCACGAGCCTCTTCGCCCGCAGGAGGTATTGCTCGAGCGCCGAAAAACACTTTCGTAACGAGCGTGTTATAGTATACTTCTAGCAGAAAGAATAAAACAGAAAAAATGGGCCCGTCTGCGTCTCGTCCTCTTTCTGTTTTATTATTTCTCCTATAAATAGGCAAAAACTTGTTGCTGTTGTCTTTTTCTTTTTTAGAAGAATTTGCGCTTGCTCCGTTTTATATAGTCAGCGCCGCCTGTTCGCGGAGTCAGGAACATGAATGGGTGTATATAATCACAGAGCTTAAAGGCCGACGCCCAGACTTGAGATTCTGCAAGGCAGAAGATCCTCCTCAGTATGGGGGAGGAGGAAACAGACAATGGGCGACAGTGTGAAAGGAGGGGAGGAAGCGAGGAAAAAGTGGAAAGCGCGAACTGGTCGTCGGTCTTTAAGAAAGGCAGGACAGAGCTTATTGTGTTTTCATGCTTCGTTCCTCGGTGTTCTTCCCGGTTCATGCAACAATCTTATAGGCAGCAGAGTGACAATACTTTTCTCGGGGTCCTGTGTTTCTTAAATCTTCGTTGCACTCTGACGTTGAGCCTAGCAAATGTGGAATAGCGCAGGGTACGCAGATGCCATTGGTCGCAGATATCGAGTTCCCGCTCGCAGGCCAATCAAAGACGCGCGCTGTGTGCTACGCTGCGTTCGATGCTTTCAACGTCGGAGTATAGCGGAGCATTTAAGCTCGTAGCGACTGATTTTCATAAGACTCACCGCCTTTATACGCCGATTTCGCTTCTGAGATGAGCGCCGTGGAAGGAGAATGTTCATCACTGAATGGTGCGCGGGAGTATAGACGTACGGACGCTGGTGTATGAATACAGAGGATCTGGCTCTTTTTCTCTATTACGTCGATCTCTGCGCTGAGCCACCAAGAGCGAATATTAATTTCCGTTATCTTCAAGAAGATGAACAACCTTGAGAATCTGACCGCAGAAACGTTTTGTTGGAAGACTCGAATATGAGCTTCTTAGAAACACGAGTATCGAAGGTAACTGGGTATTTCTGTCAACGTGCGCTTTTATGCTCAAAATTGAGCGGCCGTTGTATACCATTGCCACGGCTATTTCGAAGACTCGATGCAAGGAAATTATAAGACAAAAACATTACGTTAAGATATAAGAGAAAACCTAGGTGTGATGACTATCTTTCTTGCATCTTTCGAAACGCAATATGACTAATGGATGAATTAAACACCAAAGTATGTGTTTCGCACGTCAAAATTAATACAAACAAAACATCGGCAGTCTTCTTATTTTTTTCTTCTAATATAGATCGGGCTGTACATTTTAGAGCGTCAGTCTTTGCTCCAGTGATCAAACTTCGTCATGCTGCTAGTAGTTTGGGTGGTCATTAATTTACGAGACAAGAAAGAAACTGGGGACAGCTTGACGCAATAAAACTTCGATTCGGGCTGGCTAGTACATATTCATTAAAAAGTTAAAAGGCGCGAACAGAAGGAGAACTAAAAACGAACGAACATGCGCTTATCCGTGTCATACGTGTCTTTTTTTTTTCGTCCTGTTTTAGTTCGCGCCTTTTCACCTTTTAATGAGGACAACGTGGTCACGCCAACTGCGTCGCGCTCATTATGCCTACTTAAAACCGAAACGTACAGTTGCTCTCTGCGAATATATTAACCCGGAGGGCCATAACTGATATATCTCCTAAGCCTCGATCGTGCTGACCATACAATCTGCAGGCATTGTTCGGGTTTCTTCCTGGTACGACGCTCATTTGCCATTGGTCATAGAGAATTGTCACACTGGAAGCATACATATTACGAAGCTTCGAACATGCTTGAGGCCTAATTGTCATAATTTCTCCAGAGAACACCGCGTTTGTCTTTACACGATGTATGAGCAATGTGACGGCGATTTCACGATATTTTCAAAGATCAACCCATAGCGCCGCGATGTCAAGGGTGGAACTTTAGGCGCGCACGGAAGCACTCCGCCAGAGTGCACGATGCAAAAGGCCATAAAAACAACGTCGTAACTCTAAGTTCAAAACGCGGATCGCAGCGCCCGTGGCTCCCGAGCAGCAAGACCTGGTGACGACCAACATGACGGCGGCGACCCTTCAGCTGAGCTCCTGGAAAAGCGGCGGCTGCCCGATCTCCTTCTTCGTGGTGCTCTACAAGCAGCAAGCGGCTCGGGAGTGGACGCCGGCGGCCGCCAGAGTCCTGCCCGAAATGCCGCAGCACCAATCCCGCCGCCAGCAGCAGCAGAAACAGCAGTCCCAGCCGCAGCAGGCGCATCTCCCAGCCACGACGCTCGTGTTGGGGGACCTGACCCCCGCCACCTGGTACGATCTCCTGGTCACCGCGCACAACGAGGCCGGCTCCACGGAGGCCGAATACGTGTTTGCGACGCTCACGCTGACCGGAGGTGAGTTTCGCCGAACGCCTCGAGGCAACGCCGCCTGTTGGCGACGTGCGCTACTCAAAAGCGACGCCGTAGTCGGCATTCGCGATTGACCTAACGCTCATTATTACGCTTATATTTAGGTTCATTTTGAGTGAGTGCGAAAATGTATTTATTCGAGGAATGAATACATCACAATCTCTCTATAAATATATCCAATCGTAACGGGAGAAGAGAATTATGGTTTTTGCTTTCATCGACGAGAAATCTCATACTGGCTGTGTTATAATTATCTTCACCTCCTGCGCCAGCTGCACTCGGTACACACTGCGGTATTCGATGTACGAACGGAGCGTATCTCAAGACAGAGCCGGAAGTACATTGCCCGGCACTTTTCTGCACCGCGCTACACATTTCTGCACCGGTGTAGGTTGATGCAGGTAAATATAATGAGCCCAGTGTCAACTTTGCCGGTGTTGGTGTGAGAATGTGACGACTCCGAGCTTCCATCGTGCTTCCTAAAGGCACCATCGAAATTGTACTTTTCAAAGGATAATAAGTAGTCAGAATTACAACTCGTGACGTCACAAAGAGACACATCCTGATCATGACGTCAGTAACGGAAACCACGAGAGGGCGCCACCGAAACATCTGGGCGCAAATACTCGTTGTCACATTCAAGAGAGTCAGCTGAACAGTTACAACGCAGAAAAACCGAGAAAGGACAATACGTACACACTCCTGACTAACAACTTGATTGCTTTATTTCTTCGTCTTTCTTTTTACCTTTTTTTCTCTAACTACAGCTAGTGATAAAAACCATCCCCTTGTCTGCGCGCTGCACCCATTAGGATGTTAAGCGGCTCGTGCCACACCCCAAGTATTGTCTCTCCTTTGCGTAGATCGTGATCGACGGGGTGCTCACGAACGTATGACCAATTTCTTCAATGACCAGGGCTTCAATTACTTCGCGTGCATATGCATTCCGGTGTCGCCCTAGAAATGGGGGTGGTTTTTATCCCTAGCTGTAGTTACAGAAAAAAAAATAAAAAAGGAAGACGAAGTAATAAAGCAAGGAAGTTGATAGTCAGCGGTACACACTTTTTCTCTCGGTTTTTCTATGTTGTAACTGTTCAACTGACCCTATTCCATATGTACCAACTAGCTGAACTCAAAACTGTTGCTCGTTGTCACATCAGGAACAATCCAAGTTCGGCGCATCGTTCATACGCTGCAGAAAGTAGTTCCTGCAAGATTTCGTTGTCGGGGGAAGAAGCGATGCTTTTGGCGTCTGATATCTGTAAGTCTAAATAAAATAACGTATAGCTATTCGAGGGTGCACCTATACATACCCTAGTTCACCCCACAAATGAAGATATTAGTAATGCTTCGAAAGGGAGTCAAACGTCTTTCGCTGCGGTTTTTGAGGTGATTGAGAATATAGAACAATCAGAGCCTGTGAACAGCTTCCGTTTAACGTGACGTATATTCATGACTTTAAGCCACTGGCTATACGTGTTTAAAAGAATGCGCAATGCGGACTACCTACAGGTGTGGACTGTGCAAGGATTTATGTTTTCAATATATTTCTATTATGACGTGTCGTGGCCGATGTTGTGAACGACAGATCACGTTAATCGTGATTTTTCTACAATATAAGCTTCTGTGTGCGTTGATAAAACAGGTTATTTTTCAAGAAATGCTGTTATGAGAATAACTTACGCGCGTATGCCCCAGCTGCGGACTCTACACCCGGCGTGAACTATCGTCTGTAAAATGGGTCGCCCTTTCCGAAGGCACAGGGGGAACGGCGGGTTTCTCACTGGGGCGCGTGGTAACCCACCCGGGCAACCCGTTTACGCCGCTTCGCTGCGACAGCCTGCGCATAGCTTGAGGTGTGTGTTCGGATCCCACCTGGCCTACCACTTCACTTGTTGGACGGCCACTTTCGTAATTAACGAAATATACGAAAATAATATAGGTGCGCAACTTAAAGGGCGAAAGAAAATGTTTTTCTTAAGCAGTCTGGTTGAGACACGTGTGCCAAGAAATGAAGTTTACGCGAAAAATAAATTTAGAGCAATATTGACATCACGAGAGTTATTGCAAATTCTGCGCGCAAAGTCCATGACGTCGCGGAATGATCAAACGCTCTTTCCACCTCGACGAAATGGTTATACAGTCTCTCCACCTCAACGTGATGGCTAAGCCGATCCACTTCTTTTCCACGCGCTCGAAATGCCGAGAAAGAAAACAAGTGGAAAGAAGGTGAATACCGATTAAATCGCGCCTCGCGCGGTCGATATTGCTCCAACATTTTTTTTTTCTTTTAGTAATTTTTTTTTTTTTTTTTGCACACGTGTCCCAGTCAGACTGCTAGAAACATTTCCTTTCGGTGGTCCTCTAAAGGGGGCCTGCAAGGCCTTTTTTACTGGTTTTTAATTTGCACCGAACTAATATAGTAACCTAGGATCGGGGAAAAAAGGGGACGGACAACGCTTTCGGTGGTCCGTCCCGTTGCCCTCCCACTCCTGGTTTACCATTTCACAACCTCAGCGTGCTTTACCACACGGATGACCACTGGTGTTAGAAAGTGCAGTCCCCCGCTATTTAAGGTATCTGTCAAAAGATGAACCACTGCATTGTGAGGAAATGTCTGCTCCAAGACCATATGTGCCCTGCGGTATTCACACTTTAGTGTCTTCACAGGCACAAAGACATATCCAGCTATACGTAGCTCGGAATAGAAGTCTTGGACGACGAAGCTGCAAAATCACGGTCTGTGATGTCGAATGCAACAGCTGTATTACAAAGCAAAATACTCTGCGCAAGTAACTTGCATGCTGAAAGAAACAAAATATTTCAAAACACTTGGAAGTGGTAACTTATTGTAAACAAACCTACCGCGCCTCCTTGGGACCAAGGAAAACAGCGGAGTTGTTTACTATACTATCACCCTACCGGGAACAATGAGAATTCGGAAGTGCAAGAGTGCAAGGATAAAACAGAAAGACGCCAAAACAACAGACCTTCGAGGAGCTCGTGACATGAACATCTTTCTGCGAAATTACCTCAATCCATTGTATACGCCGTTGCTCGATGGTTGGGAAGAAGAATTTTTGTACCTTCGGTTTTCTGGCATAATTTCCCGACACCACGGCACACAGCACTTATATAGCATCCATCCTCACATTCACACACACGAACACACAGAGGCTCTGGTAGCCGACGGAAGAAGTCTCCGCATTTTGAACGGGTTTCTACGTCGCCCGATAGCTCACTCATAACCAAGGAAAAGCCTGGCAGAACACCACGAAAAGTGGCCGCCGAAATGGAAAAGGTCGATCGACAGACAACCGATGAGAGGAGAGCTACGTGACTGGCGCCCCGCTGCGGCGAGACACCGAAACGCACTTCTTCCGAGCGAACAAGTGTGTTTCGGCTCCTCGCCGCTGCAAAAGCTGTGCGCTGACGTCCACGTTCCCCGAGAAATGGCTCTTTGATGATCTGTTCTACCAGATCCTCGCGCTCCAAATCTGTGACCTGCCACTATGTGGCTTCGTCGTCGAACTGCCAGGCTTTGTGAGTATACAGGAGGCTTTGGCTCACCTAGTGTCTAACTCACATATATTGCGAGCCACCAACCATTTGGTAAAGTTGCGTCGTCAGGTACAACCTATAACACAGTTCCAACTCTGACGCTAAGACCGAGCGCATCGTGGATGACGGCGCATGGAAACATAATTATTTCTATGGGCCACCTGGAGTGTTTCCTCAGCATCTTCGCTGACGCTCGTCAGTGAAAACCCTTTGCTAGCTCTCATTGTTTGGTCTATAGGAGCAGTGACGTAGCTGACGCAACAAAACAAAGCGCACGGGCTTTACGAGTTTCTAGAAGTTAATAGTTTCTAAAAGATGTTGGTCCGATGCAGTTTTCTACGCATTGACTGGACACGCTGACGCCGTTACCAATTTGTGTCAGCGCTCAATCTCCAGTCTCCAAAAGGTTGATTATGTATTTATCATTGAAATAACTTTGGCTCTTCTCGCGCTCGTGTGGCAAAGCCACAAAACAGTCATTGAATATCTCCAAAGAAAATTTTTGAAGGCCGTTGGGACTGCCAAACTTCTGGACATCGGCGACGTCCAGCAGTCGTAAAGCTTTTGTATATGGGTCCTGCTTTTACTTTTACTCATTTATCTAGGTAAAGATCGATATGTATACACAGCGTTGGCGCAAACTTGGCTGTCTGGGGATCGTACAAAAAGATGACAAAAAAGAAGTAAAATTAACGAGGCATCTCCTCCGAGAGTTCATTTAGGCACAAAGGCCTCTCTGGGCACACGCGGTGCACCGTCCGCGATGCGCGCTGTTCACGCCACGTTAGCACGAATTCCCGTGAAAGGATGCCGCGCATGGCCGGACTCCCGATTCGAACAATGAGATGCCGTGCTTTACGTTATACTGCCTTCATATCGCTAAGAAAAGGAGAGCACGAAAAGAACAAAAGGATGCCTTTTGAAAGAACTACAATGGAAATATTGACTTTGATTTGTCTTTCAGCGTCTTCGCTTTTTCTCCAGTTCATAAAAGCAGAACAAAAAGCAAAAAAAAATGTGAGGAAAAAGGAGAGGGGTGGGGAGGTCAGTTTTACATAGGCTTGCCAAAGAAAGGTAAAAAAAAATCTGGTTAGATGGATCCCAATCTCGACTTTTGTTCTGAAAGACCAGGGTGGAAAATGTGAAGAAAAAAAATACTTGAGGAACATGAAGGAATCGCAGCGCTTGCTCGGCCGTGTAACACTATAATACAAGTTTTTTTTTTTACCGTTTTCGTTATTTAAAAATATATGTTAAAAGTTGAAAGAAATATACGTGAAAAAAAAAAACCAAGTTTTAAATTTGAACTGCGGAGAGAAAAGGCGCCGTCTTGTACGATGCTTACATCAGATTAGAAGGCGATGAACAATTGTTCTGACTACCGACCTTTTGTTGTTTCTTTCTGTGTTTTTTAGTTAGCTTTGATTCTTCTTTTAGACGCTATATGAGAGGACGAAAGGGCAGTTTTTTTTTTTATTTAATGTCTTCTTTTTTTGCCAGTTTTTATTATCTTTGCGAAGCGTGAACGGACGACGGCAGATGCCCTCGTTTTCCGATAACGAAAATTGCGAAGAGGAAGCTATCGAAACGGTCTGGCTGTCAGGGACATGAACCCTAGAAATAGATTGACGTCTTTGATCGCCACACGATCGAATCCGCGCTATTGTGAAGCCGTTTCTTTTTTTTACCGAAATTGATATTTATTTTAGTTCTTGAAATCTGTAGTAAAGCGAATAAGATTACTTTGCTTACGATACAATGTACTCATTAAGTGGATGCAACTTTTCAGTTCGCATTTCCTGATACACGCACCTTCATATATGGCATCGGAGAGGCCGACACAAATACTTCGAAAAGTGTCTGCCATACCGCGATTGCTAATTGCGGTATTGTCACAATGCAAATTATGTCTCAGTTGCCTGATAATGGTGGCCTCAAATCACAATCTTTTGCACTGGCGCACCAGGTGTCCTGTGAGGATTTGACTCGTAAACGCCTGAACAAGCAAAACAGCATCAGAACGACAAGGACCGAGGACGCCGACCTAACGTGTTTTTGCAACTCCAAAATATGTGCATTTAATTGCTCTTCTTCGGTTTTATATATTAACTGCCAGAGCGCGGCAGTTTACGTTTCATATTTCTATAGACGCCGACTCCCTGTTTCTTTACTAAGTGTATTTTCCACGACGTGGCGTCTCCTCCATCGGTCATGTGAAAATTGAAGCGATGCCGACTAAACCGCCTAAATTGAAAGGATGGCAACACCTCACTCTTTCCTCCCCCCCTCCTTCGCCGCGCACTTTTTGATCTAAAGTTTCTGACGATGTCGCAGTAGCGCGTATATGCAGAATGTTGCCGCCTGGATTGTCCCAAGACTGCAGGCGGCATTCTTTGAAAAATTATGTTACTTTTGTTAAATGTGGGGACTTTATACTTTATTTCGTCAGTAAGAGCAAATTCAAAGACAAGAAGATGCACAAGCAACGGCACTTTTGCCAGAAACAAAAACAAAACAAAAACGGTGAGTTTACTACGCTTGGTTGGTTAAGTTGATTATGGTGAACAAACAATAAAAAGACACACACAGTGACGTTGCACTTTTGGCGCTGTTTGAAAGGGCCTATCGAGACGTAGCGTTGACTGTGCTCTGATGTCAGGTAAGGCGAAGTATAGTGGCGATGCGGTCTAATAATTTTAAGGGGATGAAGACTAGCCGTGGTAACGAAGTTTGGACTGTCAAGACTAAGTAAAAGATATTTGGGAACATTCTAATGATTCCACAGGAGTGCCTTTTTGTCTGTCTATACCTGTACGAAAGTAAACACGCCCTTTGACATATGTAATGCGACCCAGGGCGAGTTAAAATAAAACTTCCGAATAAATAATCTTGAGCCACCCGAGAGGCTCTGAAGTCGATGGATTTTCTCTTTGCTGATGGACGGTCCAGCAGAGGCGGAGCGAACCTGGAGGCTTTGGAGCATTTGAATCTGGGAAATGTGTTTTTCCGTGTTTCATGACCTTTCCTGCTTATTGCGACATATTGTTGGATATATTAAGCCCAGCCCTCGATCAGCAGAACTTTTTACCTGGCAGGTTTCCGTTGCGAAAGCTATAGACCCTTTTCGAAATTCCGTGCCATCTGGTGGTTCGCATAGCAGTTTAGGTTTTGTCACATCAATGGCGGTAATGAACATGTATCTTATCGGGCACCGCCACTTTTGCAAGTCAACGGCAGGTGAGGAGTTACTCAATGTGTGGTTCTTTCTCGATCACTTTCAGTTCGATGGTGACAACGAACCTGCAGTGAGAACAAGCTCCACACCACACAGACGCCTCGATAACAATTCTATGCGCCAAAAGGCTTTAAAGCCGATTGTGTGCCACCCGCAGATTTACTGAATCTGATTTAGAAATGAGCGCTAACATAGCTCTTGTATTCCATTCCTACGTCGTATCGTACTTACTAACCCCCGAATGCACAGGCCTCACATCATCCGCTTGGGAGCATCTTCAACGTCTGCCTTCATCAGTCACTAGAAGGCCGGCATTGGTACGGCACAGATGCCGTTCCACAGATGATGATAGTGATCAAAGTTGCCAGAATGAATTTCGGAAGGGCTCTATTGCCATTTTTGTATTTCTTTTGTTTTAGAGCGCAGCTCTTAGGCGCCCGTTTCTGGCTTGAGCGGCGTCTGCGTCGCCGTCACCGTCGGCGTAACCGTAACGCGTCGGCGTCACGCCTCGGCGTCGCCGTAACTGTAACGCGTCGATGTCGCCGTCGCTGCTTGGCGTAACCGCGCTTTGCATTATGGGACGTTTCCCATGATGCATTGCGCGGAAGGGAGGAAGGGGAGGGATAGAATGAGGGGGACGGGGATGGAGGAGGGGGAGGAGGAGGGAGGAGGAGGAGAAAAAGAGGGAGGAGGAAGAGGAAGGAGGAGGAGGGGAGGGGGAGGAAATGAGGAGGAGAGGGTACGAATGAGTAGGAGGGACATACCGTCCCCTCCGTACCCTCCGTACCCTCCCCTTCTCCTCAAGAGCTGCGCTCTAATTCGGCGTTACAGGGAGTTGTAAACGTCTCTCATTTTTTTATGTAGCATGCTTTTAATACTTTCGTTTCACGAAACTAGTTGGTATAACTATAATTTTGGGTACAATTTTAAGACACCACATTGCACAGCTATGAGCTCACGTCCAAAGACGCTAGAGAGAGTACGTTTTAAAAACGAAACTCCCAGAAAACAACTGGGCTCTGCAAAATCCTTTTCTGCTAATAAAATCGACTTTAGTTGCCCTATCGCTACAAAAGACGCGTATGTATAAAGACGCCCTACATTCGGGAACGCCGTACGTGGCTCAAGAGGCTTCTGTTTCACAGGTACCGTGCCACCACCCCGGTCAACTCAAGCCGTGGATTCGCAGCACCGACATATCCGCATCATCGTACCCATCGTGTGCACTCTGCTTGTCATGCTTCTGGTGTCTGCTGTCGTCTGCTACGTCTTCTCTCGCAGACGACTGGCCGCAGCCCAACGACCGAGTTCAGGTACGCTTGCAGGACTTGCCTCCGGCAATAGACCTATTGCTAAATTACTTAAGCATCAAGGAGAATGCAGGGAATAGTGCTCCATTCGCCGCACGTGCTGGCGTCATCAGTAGTATCTTTTCTAAAGCAAATGCCTAAACCAATGGGCATCTTGCACGCGCGTTTGTCTACTCTTTATTTTGGATACTTACTTCAAATGGTTTACACAGGGCAGGCGTGGGCATGCGGCGCGTGGAACGCCATTTTCTGCACTCTCCTTTATGCTTGGATATTATAGCACTAGGTCTATAAGAATCCTTTATCAGTTCAGCTTTCGCTCTCCCAGTTGTCCGGGCTGAGCGATATACCGGTTCTCAGGAAGTGATTTTGCGAGGCTTACGTGTCATTGCGCCACGTGGCCTGACGTGTCGTTACGTCAATGTATCACGTGACGCCACGACTTGACATCGTAACGTCACGTCACTTCACCACGTCGCATGACGTCAGGACGCATGATATCACTGTGCAACTTGACACCACAAGTCGACACTTTTAAACAAATTCAAACAATCGCTGCGTAAATATCTTAGTCCATGCATTAGAGGAGTTCCAGAACTAAAAACCTGCCAGTTATTTTATGTAAAACCGCGTTAGGCTTAACTTTGTCTAGCAACACACTTTATCTTAGGTCGTGCAATGGAGCGTTGTGAACAGAACATCGAGCAAAATGGCAAACATCATTTCTTGCGCACGAAGTCCATCGAAAACAAAGCGCTGACGCAAAACTGATTTTCGACACGAGCCGAGCCGAGTTGACGCCGAACACTGACGCAACCCTCGTGTCCAATCCACGCTCAGAGTGCGTGTCCCAACAACGGCGAACTTGGATAAATTCCCTAAAAATATGACATGGCGCTTGAAGGATTCGCCATCAGGCTGTGACCCCTCCGTTTCCGAGCTCCCTTCGAGCCCTGCCACCGTTCCGTTCCGCCCCAGACGACCTGGACGAGCCCGAGAACACCAAGGCCGTGGACACGGTGCCCATGAGCGTGTGGGAGAAGCCGGACCAAGTCGCTTCCCGGGAGCAGCTCTACTACCCTTCGCCGTACGCCGGCAGCCGAGCCTCCGTGTACGCGGACGGGGCGCAGCAGCCGCAAGACACGTGGGCCCCGACGGGACGGCTTAGAGCCGGGCCTCTGGACGAGGGCGACGTCCAGGAAGACGAGCAGCAGGCCGACCTGCAGACGCAGCACACGTACGACGTGCCTTTCCTCAGGAGGCCGCCCAGTTCACAGACGCAGGTAAGGAAGACATTGTCACCCCCAGAAAATACCTCCGAGAATGCGAGCTCCGCACCTGAGGTCATCCTTAATGAATGCACGACGGCGCGTTCCTAGCAGAAAACAAGCAGAAGCTCAAACGAGAGACGCCGCCAAACGGCAGACGCGTCCGCCTTGGCGTTGTTGCGCTCGTTGTGCGACGCTGCATGTAGCGCTGGCAGCGATGCTGACGATGCGAAGCTGGCTGCGTCCAGGAGTGATGGCGTCTTGCCTCAGAGCGGAATTTCGTCTAAACCGACAACCATCGGGTAGGAAGAAGGGGAGGCGCCATACCGGCTCAAGCCAGCCAAATGACCTCAAGTGAAGCCGCAAGTACACGTTGCGGTAGTTGAGAACGCCCCCGAGGGTGTCCAGGGGTGTCCTTTCCGTCCAATAGCCGATCTGGGTTTTGTGCGTTTTTTGGCCATCGTTGCGGGCGTGTCCCTCTAAATTAGAAGTCTCCACCGGCTTCACCTCTGGTGGGGTAATGTCGGCTCCACAAGCTTCCTACCTCCGTGCCAACAAAGCCCTCCCAGAAATAAACGAGTATGTACGCACAAGCGCACTAAAGCCTGCTTCAGATATTAGCGTACGACACCTTGCGTTCCACTACGGCTCAATGCGAGGACCTCAGTTGCCATGGCAGCTATCTTGTCTAAACTGATCACAGGCGGCCAGATTGCGTTCAATCACGGCCAAACGCAAACTTACGAGGAAGTACGCTAAAACCCGGAATGCGTGCGTAAAAAACTAATCGAAACGCGAACAAATGTGGAACAATCCAAAATATTTCAACGATTATTTTGGGAAACGAGAATATTTACAGTCGTAGATTCCTCAAATTGCTGCGCCAAAAGCATACTCGCAATTTCTATACAATAAAGTCCCGCGTGGTTCGTTGAATGAAATCTCACCACGAACGGGGTCCTCCGTCGTATCCGCCGATCCATAAGGGGTCCGCGAAACATCAGTGGCTGAAAACCACTGTCCTAATTAATAAAATTGGTCGAGACATCGCAAGGCATTTAAAAGATACTACTGTATTGTCGTCGTCAAAAACCAATAACTGAAATTGTTACAGGGCACCACAGGTCTAAGTAGCAAGCAAGAGAGGAGTAAATACTGAAGTGGCTCTCCATGCTCAAGCCCATCGTCGAATCTGCTTTGAGTTTTTTTGTTTTTATTTTTTATTTAGACAAGACACTAGGAATCATGGAGAAACTGTCTTAGCTGTCTTAGGGTGACTGTCGAATGTCTCATCAGGACAGACCTTCTTAGCCAATGGCGTGACGCCCCGAGGTAGCTAACTCTCCGAGTAAAATAATCTGTACCCAATCTAAGACCCAGCCATTCCAGCAGGTTCAACATCGGGACTATAATATTGTATTCTAATACCTCAGTGCTTTAACTTTAGTATAATTGTACGTTTTATTAGAATGTAACTGTGTAATGTAAACCACACAATTTGTTTTATCTTTGTTGCAGTTAAATTCCCACGACGGCCTGATATCGTCGACGGAGCTGCTGTCAAACCATATATACTCTAAGCCAGGTAAGGTCTCATTTTTGTGGGGGAAAATGGGCTGGGGGGCGACTGGAAACGCCTTTGGTGCTTCTGTGACTTAGGTTTACGCTCCCGCGATGTTCTACAGCTAAGGCTATGGGTTGCCACGTCGTATGACGTGCCAGTTAGAGACCCCGTATTGTGTTGCTTCTACTTGTGTATCGTTCAAAAAAGGCACCACGTGCTTTCTCCCGTGCGAGAGAGCTCGCATTTCGTAGCTTTGGCAGAAGACGTTAGTCCATCAGACGGTGATAGCAGTTATACCGTGGGGCATGGTACCAAGCGTTTCCATGAAACGCCCTAAAGTCGAGGTCCCAGCGCTAATGCATCGTACAAAAGACCGTCTGCTGTTTGGTGTCTGAGGCGTGTTTCTTTTTATCCTATCACACTTTCCATAAAAAAAAAAAAAAAATGAGTCTGAAGAGTGAAGCAACGCTCTTCGAACATGCCTGAGGCTGCAGCGTGTCTTCTGGGCGATGTGTGAGTGGTGTCACAGCGGCTTTAGAGAACGACGCGGGGTTCGCTGTGTCTTCCTACAGCCGTTGTGTACCTGCCTCCGGAGAACGGGAAGAGCCTACGGCACCAGCACCACGGGTCGTCGCACCTACCCATGAGCATCATCGAAGGCTACCCCAGCGGTAACGTGTCCTACGTCTACTCCCGGCCCAAGAAGAAACACTGGAGCCAGCAGGACAGTCCTTACGCGGAACGCAAGCTCCACAAGCTCAACTCCAGGAGGTATTTCAAAGTGTTCACGATTCGGGCTCGCTGCTTCCCGAAGGAATGATTGAAAACATCTTTATCGAGATATTGTCATTGTTTTATGGCAAAAGTTACTTCTTTTAACGACGGATGTGTTATAGGGCTAGCTTTGATAAGATCAGCGTAACGAAGGACGCGTAAAACCTTCACATGCCTGCTAAATTTAGCGAGCGAGACATCGCCCTCCAAATATAGCTAGCTCCCAAGGTCAGAAACACTAGTGTAGAAACACCCAGTGCAGTTCTAAATAAGCTGGACATTTTCTGGCTCCCGAATTTATCAGTGGGATTAAAAGACATTTCATTTTCATGCATGATAACATTTCGATTAAATTTTTTTACTATTGATTTTACTCTTTTAGTGTAAAGACGGCACCAGTCGCCTTTATTTTTTTTTTCCAGTCGCTTTGGCCTAAATAAAGCCTGGTTACACGTATTGTATTAAAATAACTACAGAGGGAGAAGCAAAATTTGCGGGCGAGCTTGTCCGTGTCTTTAGTTTTAGATTATGATAAAGAAGAGTCTCTGTTTTATGTGTGCTGGAAAGTAGTCTTATGGGTTTGGGGCGTTTTGGTGCGTCTCAAAAAGTCTTCTACACCTAACTGAATCCCCACCATTTTGCCCTAGACTACGCAAGTAGACCTGCCAAGCACATACAATGCGTTGGTTTGACCCAGCAAAGCCGACGCGTCAAATATAATCTAGTGGTAATAGGTTCGAAGCAGAATCTGAGAGAAAAAAACAGAAACAGAAGGGGTTAAAAATGCATGTCTTCGCCTACGCCTTTGTTTTATGTCTCATTCACACAGTAGGCGTCTAACTACGTATTACTTCCGTCAATACGACTGGAAATCACAACGCCAACTAAGCGCTGTAATCCTTACTTGCCATGGTAACTGGCAATCGTCTCTCGGCAAAATACCCTTTAACCTACGCAGAGAAACGCTACGGTGTGTGTGAATTGGTCTTTAAGGTGCCTGTTTGAAACTCATGGCTGGGCTATAAAAATGTCTTCCATTGCCCTCTCCAGGTACTCCGACGAGATGAAGCAAGGCGACATGGTGTCCCGTGAAAGTGGGCTGGATTTTGCGGTGGAGGCGTACGAACTCTCCGAAGCAGAGTGCGACATGCCCTCGAGACATTTTCCAGTGCAGAGATAGGACCAAGTCAGCGACGGTTACGCGTCGAATCGGCGAACAAGCCAGATGCCGACGTCTGAAACGAAATCATGGCGGCCCCGTCGAAGCTACGCCGGTGCTTTGCTTCTCGTCAACGAGACAGGGCACTTTGCTTCTTTTTTTTTTTTTCTACAACAGCAGTGGAAGCCCGCCTGTGATCGTTTTGGCGCCGATACACTCACTCCTCGTTGTGTTGGAGTCGAACTTTGTTTTCTAGGAAGCGGTGTCACAGTGTTTCAAGGTATGCTGCGAAAAACGGAGCGTTGACCGTTCTGAAAGAACAAATTGTTTTTTTATACATCCAGTACCTGCACATGAAGACGCAAACAACGTGTGCACTAGAGCTGTACATTTGAAGTTTGAAAATATTGTACATAAATAAACTATACTTTATGTTTTGAGGTTGCAAATAAACATGTTTACAAGGCGTTGTTCTTCTTGTTCTCCTTGTTTTCCATTTGCCGCTTATTGCTTAGAGTATGGTGGTGCTTACCCAAAGAAAAGGTTGCCTGGGATCTGTGTTGAGAATGTCATTTTTAACGGTCTGTTGTATTAAATGCTAACTACTTTGAAAGAGATATACTTTTACTCTTCGTGGAAATGTAAGAACTGCGAGAGCGTTGTCACTAATACCTAATTACACGGGTAGGTTTAACCGCACTTAAGTCTGACATCAGTCAGACTTAAGTGCGGTTTTGACTGGATGGACATTTCGTCTCGTTGAACATTTTGACCAGAAGCTCCCGAGTGCCGAGTGTATCTCAGTTTATCTATGCATAAACCTTGAATCGAGGTCAAGGTCATACTGAATTCGCGCGCAAAAGAACGCGATAACATCCACTTTAGGGCACACGGACCATACCATTGCCGGAGGAAATCTAAATGCTCCAAGTACAGAACAAAGTATCGCAACGATCTTGCATTTCTGATACAAATATTGCGTAAAGCGCCCGTGCTCTTGCAAAAAACGCGGCGGTGGCGCGCGCGAATAAAGAGTATTCGGCAAAAAAAAAAAAAAGACATACTCTGGCTCGCCCCATTTAGTTCCTCAATTGTTGCTTCGTTCCACTCAGAGCAGTATGTGCATCTAAACAAGCTGCGTCATGCACACCACTATGGGGTGTGGTCCTTGGTATCCAAGCCACGCCCAACCGCTGTAATAAAGCAACAAAAAAAGAAACTGAAATATATTTTTTTAATTTACCTAGGAACGTTGGCAGGCGCCTTAATTTTGTTTGCACTGCTTCCTGCGTGAAGCGTGTGCTGGGATCCGAATCGGCGTCAAACGCTGATTCAGCACTCGTGCCCAATAAATCTTCTGAGGCTTGTGCCGAACATTTTTTTCTTCTTTCGTTTGTTTCTCAATCTGGATGCAAGGTATCGGAGAAAGGGGCGAAAGTCAGGTACACTTTGCAAGACCAGGCCCATACCTTCGTTGCATAACCAGGAGGCAAACACATGGCCCCCGAGATGCCGCCTCGCGGATCACTAGCGAAGCAGAGTAATTGTGTTTTGGGATGTTGCGAACCTGCCCAGGTTCGGGTTGGACCAAGTTCGACTTGTCCTACTAAAGTACGACTGAAGTTAGACCTTTGTACGCTTGCGTGAAAATTTAAAGGCGAGCTTACACCACCTGGCGAAGGAAAAGTGCAAGATGTGTTTCGTGTGTTGCAACACTGACTCACATTACTAACGAAAGCAATAAATTGACCTATTTTTTTGCTTTTACATTGTGTAAATATTGTCACGAATGACACTTGACGAGGCAACGAAAAGCTGAAGGAAGCTAAACGTTTAATGGCGCGAACTTGTGACCACAATTTAAATAGAGGAAAGCTAGCGTTGGCAGACGTTGATAGCGTCGTAACAGCAAGATCGAGCGCTAGGGAGAGACTGACACCGGGTCGCCACGCGGAGCAGCGTTTGTACCCGCTTGGGTTTCTGGAACATTCGGCGTAGAACGTTCGACAACTACAACACACGGTACTCGATGGAACGACAAGGTTCTCGAACTTACGAGAACGCCACGTTGAATAACAAATAAAAATCATGAGCCATTCGACTCTGTGAAGGTGGGTGACCAGCGAAGCTCTTCAGCACATGACACAGACCCGCGCTGAGGAGCCGGAGGAAACTAGTCAAGCGCGGCGGGAGCGCCTTCTGACGGAAAGTAGACACGCGCCACGGGACCGTCACGCCGGGAGAGCGGAAGGAAAGGAAACTGGGCACGCAAGCGCTTGGAACTACAGCAAAGAGAGAGCGGTGCGAGCGTAGACATAGACGACGCGGGTCACACAGCAGCAAATCTGTGAGGAACCTTTATTAACTACCTGAGAGTCTACTGATCTTGAAAATGGTGCGTATTGATAACTAATCTGCTAAATATACCTGGTGCTAAATTACCCGAGCATTAAGAAAAATGCAGGGAATGGTGTTCCACGCGCCGAACGTGCTGGCGTCTGCAGCAGTAACTTTTCTAAAGCAAAAGCCGAAAATTAATGACATCTTGCACACGCGTTCGCCAACGCTTTATTTTGGCTATTTACTTCGTATCTTGTATACAGGGAAGGCTTGCGCGTGCAGCGGTGCGAGCGTAAAGCGCTTGGTAACGCACACAAAAAATCGCCGGTACCCAAGTCATAAACAGATTCGCTGTAAAAGAAAAGCCCACTCCCTGGAATCGAAGCTGGAGCCTCCTGGCGACAGCAAAGCACGGCAACCCGGCCACGCACGCGATCGCTCGGGGAAGTGCATGGCAGTTAACCCCCCCCCCCCCCCCTTTAAAAACTCATCGTCTCGATGCAACGTGCCACAAAACAAAACAGCAAAACAAACAAAAAATAATTGCTAACTACGGAGGCTTGTAAAACACAGTCTTGACGAGCGTAGTACAGAATCAGTTTTGTCGAGCGTAGTTCCGCTTGAGGCGCCCGACGTGGACGACTTCCGGTCGTGGAGGGCGGCGTGATGAAGTCCGTGTTCCGTCGGGCATACCTCGTAGTTCACGTCCTCGAGTGGACGAAGCACCTTGTAGGGTCCGAAGTACCGTTTTATGAGCTTCTCGCTGAGACCGCGGCGGCAAATGGGTGTCCTTACACACACTCTGTCTCCCGGCTGAAAGCGGACGTCGCGATGACGAAGGTTGTTCCGTCCCCTGCCAACACGTTGTTGGTCATGGATCCGCAGGCGGGCGAGCTGGCATACCTCCTCAGCTCGTTGCGGTATCAAATGGGCGTCGTCGGTTCCGTCGTCTGCTGTGTTGTGGGGTAGCGTTGCATTGAGCATCATTGTCACCTTGTTGCCATGCACCAGCTGGAATAGTGTCATTCCAATGGTCTCTTGAACTGGAGTGTTCTGGCAAACGTGACGTACGAAAATAATTCGTGCCATGTCTTGTGCTCAACGTCGACGTTTCTGGTGTTCATGTTAATGATGGCCTTGTTGAGCCGCGCCCTCACTCCGCTGCTTTGCGGATGGTATGCCGTCGTCCGACGGTGTTTGGTGTGGCTTAAACGAAGTATCTCCTTGGTCATCTGCGCCATAAACGGTGACCCCCTATCTGTAATGAGGACTTGAGGTGCGCCATGTCGTAGGACGACGAACTCGCCGAAAAAATTGGCGATTTTCACAGCAGTCCCTGACGGAAGGGCTTTTGTTTTGGAGTATCGGGTTCAATAATCAGTGGCTACGATTATCCAACGGTTTTCCAGGGTCGACTGGGAAAAAGGACCAAGTAGATTCATTACGATCTGCTGATGGTGCAGTTGGCGGAGGAACCGGCTGCAGGAGACCTGCCGGCTTTTTCAGCGGTTTTTTGTTTGTCTGGCACTCGTAGAATGATCGTGTGTGGAGGTGAAAGAGGTGAACGGTTTTGGGGAGCTTGGGCCAGTAATTTTTTTCACAGATACGGGCCAGTGCCCTACTGTAGCCAAATTGTCCGGACTTCGGGTCTTCGTGACATGCTTGAAAAATCTCTCAATTGTCAATCGTGATTACCAGCAGCCACGGTGAGTTGTTGTCCCCGAAGTTGTCTTTGCAGAGTACACCTTGTTGAATGGCGAAGGTCCGCAGGGTTCGGGAGAAAACATGTGACATGGTACTCCCGCGCTTTCCCAGATGCTCTATAAAGGCTCTCATATACTCTGACGTCGAGCGTAGCAAGCGCGGCGTAGCGCGCAGTGCACACATAAGCTAATTAGTCGCAGATATAGAGTTTCTGCTCCCTGGCCAATGAAACGCGCTCGTTCTGCGCTAGGCTGCGTTCGCTCCGCTCGACGTCGGAGTATAACAGAGCATTTAGCGCGCAGCTCAGGATCACTGCGTTGACGTTGTGCCTTGTCGTCGGTGTTCACTCCGCCTAAAAACCGCTCGTCGTCGTTGTCGTCTCTGCTGCCGGAAGTTGTCTCGACAGGGGCTCTGGACGAGTAGTCGGCGTCGCTGTGCTTGCGGCCTTACTTGTAGGCCACAGCCATGTTGGACTCGTGTAATCGGAGACTCAATCGAGCGAGACGTCTTGAAGGGTCCGTAAGGTTCGCAAGCCAGCACAGCGAGTGGTGGTCCGTGACTACGTGGAACGTGCTCCCATACAAGTACGGGCGAAACTTCGTCACTCCCCAGACGACCACAAGACATTCTTTTTCAGTCGTAAAGTAATTTATCTCCGCCTTGGAGGGTGTCCGGCTTTCCTTAGGCAAAAACTCGCTCGGTGCCTTCTTCCACTTTAACTAGTACTGCTCCAAATTCTGCGTTACTTGCGTCCGTGTGAATCTCGGTTTCCGCATCCTGATCGAAGTGCCCAAGAACAGGAGGAATCTGGAGTTTTCGCTTCAGCTCGTCAAATGTCTGCCGCTGCTACTCGGCCCATTCGAACTTCTCGGTGTCCTTCGTAAGGCTTGTGAGTGGTGCGGAAATTCTTGTGAAGTCCCGGACGAAGCACCGACAGTAGGAGCATAATCCAAGGAATCTTCGCACGGCCTTTTTGTCTGTCGGTGCTGGAAATGCCGCTGCGGTGCGAGTCTCTTCTGGACCTGGGCGAAGGCCTTCATTACTAAAATTGTAGCCTAAGAGCTTCAGTTTGTCATAGGCGAACCGACAC